ACTATTTCTAACTGGCAATAACATAAATAAGTACCTCATGACAACAAATAAAACAGAACACAGTAATGGCTCACAAATCTTAGCCAAACTAGCTTTGATTAGTGATATATCAAAATTGGAGTATTATAAAATGAACTTCTCATAAAATAGTCCCACCATATGGACATCAAATCTAGTATTACAGCAAAGTCCAATCACATATCTAATTGGAAAATAAAAGTAAATAAAATTTAAGTATAATTCTACATTGAAAACAACTCAGAATAAAAATTTTAACATAAACAGTCATGATTTCCTACAATGTGGAATACATTACTTAATTACTATTACTTACTAAACAGTTGATAAACCAAGTTGTCTTTCATTAAATTTCTTTTATAAATATCACTAAGTTTTCTTTCCAAACTGTATTCATGCATTTTCCTACTTGTGAAAGACCTATTCACTAAAGTTATAACTGGGAGAAAAGCATTTCTATTGATAATCTCATTCCTACCCAAAATGAAATGAGAACCAATGAGATAAGCGAATAAACGTTTTATGTTGAGCACTACCTGATGACACAAAACTATGTACACATTTTGTGAGGGGGGAAATCTTTATAGATTCACACCTCATTTGTCATTGGTACTTTGATAAAAATAAACTAGTTCACTCTACTTCTAAAAATAAGGTTGAATTATAGAAATTTATAAAGATTGTGAGTGGAACAGTTAAACTACCTAAGAATGCAAGCACCTTGGGTATACTCAATTAAAAATACCCAATTACTTACCTACAAATAACATGCTAATTAATGGTTTTTAGTTTATGTTTTTATTTATTTATTTTTTAGAGACAGGGTCTTGCTCTGTCAGCAAGGCTGAAGTGTAATGGTGTGATCTTAGCTCACTACGGCCTTGAACTCCTAGGCTTGAGCAGTCATCCCACATCAACCTCCCAAGTAGCTGGGACTACTGGTGGTTCACACCACCACACCTGGCTCATTTTTAAACTTTTGTGGAGACGGGAGTCTTTCTATGTTACCCAGGCTAGTTTCAAACTCTTGGACTCAAGAGATCCTCCCATCTCAGCTTGCCAAAGTGCTGGGAATACAGGCATGAGCCACTGCACCTAGCCTAATAATTATCTTTTTTATTTGTAACCAAATCTATTAAAATCCCAACCTCCCTACCTCACTGCCATGGATTCTCAGAAAATATTGTGTTCATCTATGAAAAGTACATTTCATTTAAAATACCTGGTAATTCAAGCCTTTTAATTTTTAGAAATATACATATTTTATCATGTATCAATCTGAAAAACTCAGAATAAATCTTTTCATTAATACTATCAATTCCAAAATATCCATAACATGAATAATCATATCAAAGGTTTTTTAGCCAAAAGAAAATGCTATTTTAAGATAAAAACAATGGAAGAGTTAAAAAGGGCAAAGCAGTATATTACCAAGATAGCCCTTAAGTAAATATTTTACTATCAAATTCCTCATGTGTGAGAAACACCATGCAGTTTCACTTGAATGACATGTTACTGTGAATAATCTGCTATAACAAACTCCCTTGTAACAAGTAACTGTACAAAATGAAATTATAACAAATTACCATTTAATTTACAGCTGTCATATGACCCAACTAATCTCCACAAGGGCATTAAAACCTTAATTGATACTTGACTACCATGTTCAGCTATAACTGGATTATTTCACTGCCAATAAATTCTGTTTACCTGCTGTGCAGTTTCTAAGGGTCGAATTCTTTTCTTCTCTACTTGAAAATCATCATTTTCATCTCTGTATACGGATGCCTGTTTCTTAGCAGATAACTTGGCAGCCAGAGTGGTTTTTGCAGGGGAGTCTTATATAAGAAGCAATAAAAAATTAGCATAAATAACTTACACATAGGCAATTTTTCTAAAAGAAAACTGGAACCAGGATGTAAGGCTTTTTAGAAATTTCATACCATAATCTAAAACATGAAACTTAAACATGTTTTAAAAAGTACTTCTCTACCATTCAGTTTACTTTACCAAAGATTTTGAGAAACACGCTTTCAATAGGAAAAGTCCAATATGATTTTTTAAATAGCTTTATGTACTTGTAGACTACACCCAATAATGTGATTTAAAATGTATAACTGCTAGAGTCTCTGAAGAAAGAGACTTATTTCACTACATATTTCATGTGTGTAAAAATCTTTCTTTACAGTATCAGTGTTTCTTTCCTACTAAGTTTTTCCACGTTCTTTAGAACAAAAACATTGATTATAGAATCAAGCTCATATAATATCTTTTAATCCCACAGTCCTGAAAGCTCCTTCTCAAGGTCATTAAGGACCTCTTAACCACCAAATAACATTAATTACCCCAATCTTTTTTTTTCTTTTTTTGAGATGGAATCTCACTCTGTCACCCAGGCTGAAATACAGTGGTACGATCTCAGCTCGCTGCAACCTCCTCCTCCTGGGTTCAAGTGATTCTCCCGCCTCAGTCTTCCCAGTAGCTGAGAATACAGGTGCATGCCACCATGCCCGGCTAATTTTTGTATTTTTAGTAGAAACAGGGGTTCACCATGTTGGCCAGCCTGGTCTCAAACTCCTGACCTCAAGTGATCTGCCCACCTCTGTCTCCCAAAGTGCTGGGATTACAGGCTTGAGCCACTGCACCCTGCCAATTATTCCAGTCTTACAAACGTGAACACTAGTGTTTTAAAAAGTCCAGTAGCTGACCCAGTATCATACAGTTAGTAAGTGGTAGAGCTTGGATGTGACTGAATCCTGCTGTGTGACTCCAACCTCCGTACATGTAACCTCTTAGGCATACAGCTGAACACTGTCTTCTTGGAACATAGCAAATACATTTTCTTCTTCCTTAATGTCTGTAACAGTGTTCTTAACTATTCTCATACATTGGTTTCTCTCTTCTCCCTTTTCCTAAATATAAATATTCTTAAAGGTATCCTCCTTCCTGTTTCTCTCTAAACATTCTCTCCACTCTCATGGTTTGAATTAATTTAACAATCTTTTTTTATTTTTTGAGATGGAGTTTCGCTCTTGTTGCTCAGGCAGGAGTGCAATGGTGCGATCTCGGCTCACCATATCCTCTGCCTCCTGAGTTCAAGCAATTCTCCTGCCTCAACCTCCTGAGTAGCTGGGATTACAGGCATGAGCCAGCACACCTGGCTAATTTTATATCTTTAGTCGAGACTGGGTTGCTGGGATTATAGGCCTGAGCCACTGTGCCCAGCTAACTCTTAAGTGTAATGTTTTCAGNTGAATTCTCCTGCCTCAGCCTCCCCAGTAGCTGGGATTACAGGTATGTGCCACCACGCCTCGCTAATTTTTGTATTTTTAGTAGAGACAGGGTTTCTCCATGCTGGTCAGGCTGGTCTCAAGCTCCCAACCTCAAGTGATCCACCTACCTTGGCCTCCCAAAGTGCTGGGATTACAGCCGTTAAGCCACCACGCCCAGCCAACAGTCATTTGAGTCTATCCCATGACCAGATACCATGGAAAAACAATGAAAAACAGAATCCCTTGCCCTAAAGGATTTACAGAATATTTACAGCAGAGAAATACCTATATGAGCGGGTCCAATACTGTTTTCAAAAAATAAGGCCCCAGTGGCTCATGACTGTAATCCCAGCACTTTGGAAGACCGAGGCAAGTGGATCACTTAAGCCCAAGAGTGCAAGCCTGCCTGGGCAACATGGCAAAATCCCATCTCTGCTAAAAATACAAAAATTAGCTGGGCATGGTGGTATAGGCCTATAATCCCAGCTACTGGGGAGACTGAGGTATGAGAATCCCTTGAACCCGGGAGGCAGAGTTTGCAGTTAGCAGAGATCACACTAGTGCACTCCAGCCTAGGCAACAGACAAGGCTCTCTCTCCAAAAAAAAAAAAAAAAAAAAAAAAAAGCAAGTTTGAGACCTCATAAATTCAGAAATGAACCTATGCCACACAGCACTGATTTTCAAGTTTTTTTTCTAAAGTGTAGGACTATTTTCTTTTCAAAGAAATGTTGCAGCTGGGCACGGTGGCTCACACCTATAATCCTAGCACTTTGGGAGACCGAGGCAGGTAGAACACCTGAGGCCAGGAGTTTGAGATCTGGCTGGCCAACATGGCAAAACTCTGTCTCTACTAAAAATACAAAAATTAGCTGCACATGGTGGTGCATGCCTGTAATCCCAGCTACTTGTGAGGCTGAGGCAGGAGAATCACTTGAACCCAGGAGGCAGAGGTTGCAGTGAGCCAAGATCATGCCACTGCACTCCAGCCTGGGTGACAGAGCAAGACTCCATCTCAAAAAAGAAATGGTGCTTAAAATTTCCAAAATAGAGATGAAAGACCTAGAACTTCTCTGATCCACTTTCCCCTTCCCCTTACAAGTTGTGTTTATAAGGTTCTTAGAAACACAGTTTGGAAACCACTATACTCTAAAATCCTAATAGTTTTGCCTTTCAGAAGTAGGTCTTTAATCTACCGGGAAGAGGTTTTGTGTCAGGTATAAAGTTGGGCTCCAATTTCAATTTTTTCCATATGGACATCTAATAGTCCCAGCATTACCCAAGTTCTTCCTTTCCCCTCCACTCTGTAGGGGAACATCTATAAATATATCAAGTTTCTGAATATGTGTGGAACTGAATTAGGGTTCTCTATACTTTTAGGTATAGATAGGTATAGAGAACTGTGAATTAGCGTGCTATTGGCACTTCACTATGCTAAAGTCAGTCCATCTTAATTACTCTACGTTTACATACAATAAATCAGTATATTTGGGGGATCAAGTCTCTCACCTTGACCTGCTTCTTCAGATGCATCCTGGCTATTCTTAGTCCTTTGCATTACATATATATTTTAGATAAGACAGGTAATTTTGAGCTCTGCATGTCCAGACAATCTATGTGGTAGTTATGACAGTGAAAATTCATCAGCCTATACACTTAGGACTTGTGTTTTTCTGTATTTTGGTGATAAAGAATTTACTTACAAATATAAAGAGGATATCAGAATACAACCTCGATTTTTTCCCATTTAGACTATTCTAGATAACATTGACTCAGTAATGTCAAAATCAAGGTGGTATATATGGACAACTCATTTTTGATAAAGACACAAAGGCAATGCAGTAGATAAGGATAGCCTTTTCAATAAATAGTGCTGAACAACTGGATATCCCCATGCAAAAAAACAAACTTTAATTCATACCGAAACCAGCTTGGCCATAGAGACCCCCATCCAGGCAGCGCTGAAGACATTAAGAAGCAGACATCCAGATAAAACAGCAAAGTGGGTCTATCCGGGGTCAACAGCCTTCCAAGCTGAGAGCCTCAGGGGCAGACAGCATCTGAGCTGAGAGCCTCGAGGAGAGTCTGACTCATGTAGTTAGTCTCTCTGAACAGGTGATTATTATTAACAAACAGGTGCTCTGTGTTTTCTCATAGAACTAAGATAAACTAGGTAGGCAGCTGGTGCCTGCTTACCACTAATCAAGGACAAACCAGAAAGTATTCTCCATGAGGGAGCCACGGGGGCATAGTTACATATCCCGTGCTTAAAGAACTGTTTTAATAGGTATATGACATACATATACTGTTTTGCTGCTTTAGAATGCCCTAAGCAGTTTTCTACTTGGGCGGGGGGTGGCCAGGTTTTCCTTGCCATTCTTCTCAGCAAACAATATACTTTACCATACAAGTTAGGACTTGTCCCAATAAATCCATACCTTGTACCATCTTCACACATTAACTGAAAATGGACTTAAACCTAAATGTAAAACCTAAAATTCTATCTGATCAAAGAAGTCTCAACATTTCACAACAAGAAAACAACCCAATAAAAAATAGGCAATTATTTGAACAGATATATCATCAAGCAAGATACATGGATAGCTAATAAGCACATGAAAATATAGGAAATAAAAATTAAAACCACAATGAGATACCACTGCATGCCTATTAGAGTAGCTAAAATTAAGGCCAGGTGTGGTGGCTCACGCCTATAATCCTAGCACTTTGGGAGGCCGAAGAAGACAGATCACTTGAGCCCAGGAGTTCAAGACAAGCCTGGGAAACATGGTAAAACCAACAAAAACTACAAAAACTAGCTAGATGTGTTGGTGTGTGGCTGTAGTCCCAGCTACTTAGGAGTCTGAGGTATGAGGCTCACTTGATCCCGGGAGGTAGAGGTTGCAATGAGCCAAGTGAGCCAAGATCACAGTACTGTGCTCCAGCCTGGGCAACAGAGTGAGAGCCTATCTCAAAAAAAACCAAACAAACAAAAAAACCAGAATGGCTAAAATTAAAAGGACTGACCATACCAAGCGTTGACAAGGATGTGAAGAAATTGGAACTATCATAATTACTGATGGGAATGTAAAATGGTATGACCATTTCATGAAACAGTTTGGAAATTTCTTAAAAACTTGGCCAGGCAAGGTGGCTCACACCTGCAATCCCAACACTTTGTGAGGCTGAGATGGGCAGATCACTTGAGGTCAGGAGTTCAAGACCAGCCTGACCATCTCTACCAAAAATACAAAAGTTAGCTGGGTGTGGTGGCAGATGCCTGTAATCCCAGCTACGCAGGAAGCTGAGGCAGGAGAATCACTTAAACCTGGGAGGCAGAGGTTGCAGTGGGTCAAGATTACACTACTGCACTCTAGCCTGAGCAACAGACTGACTCCATCTCAAAAACAAAAAAAAGTTAAACATACACACCTACAAAGCAATCTGGTCATTCTGCTCCTAGTACTCACCTAAGAGAAATTAAAACATACATCCATACAAAGATGTAGACACATAATATCTGTCTTTGTAATAGCCCTGAACTAGGAATAACCCAATTATAAATAAACAGCTAGATAACCAATTTGTGGTATATCCATGGACTATTACTCTGAAATAAAAAGAAATTATTAATATATGCAACATGGATGAATCTCAAAATATTTGTTGTAAGTGAAAGAAGCCAGACAAAATTAGTATACATCCTCTATGAATCCATTTATATAAACTATAGAAAATGCAAACTAATCTATAGTAACAGAAAGCAGTTAAGTGGTTGGTTGGGGAAGTGAGCCGTGGAGGGGTAGGAAGAGGGAATAACAAAGGTCCATGAGAAAACTTTTTGGGGAAAGTGAGTATGTTTGAAAAAATTTAGAGAAAGTGAATATAAGGTTGGTGTGTATGTTCACTATCTTGATTCTGGTGAAAGTTTCATGGAGGTACATATGTCAAAATGCATCAAAGTATACCATTTAGGCTAAGTGCGGTGGCTCACATCGATAATCCCAGTACTTTGGGAGGCCAAGGTGGGTAGGTCACTTGAGGTCAGGAGTTCAAGACCAGCCTGGCCAACACAGTGAAACCCTATCTCTACTGAAAATACAAAAAATTAGCCAGGCATGGTGGCAGGCACCTGTAATCCCAATTACTCGGGAGGCTGAGGCAGGAGAATTGCTTGAACCCAGGAGGTGAAGGTTGCAGTGGGCCAAGATCACACCACTACACTCCAGACTGAGCAACAGAGAGAAATTCTGTCTCAAAAAACAAAAAGTGTACCATTTAAATACATGCAATTTGTTATGTCAAGTAAACCTCAATAAAGTTATTTTTAAAAGCAAAGGGTATATATAAATATTATACACCAGAGTTCCTATAATTAGCTGAAAATTAATCCCATTCGTTCATAACAACAAATATTTATTTAGCACCTACCATATGCTAGGGACCCTGCTAGAGTTCTAGGGATACAATGGTAAGCAAATTGACAAATACGTTCCTGACCTCATGAAGTATACAGTCTACTATGGAAGCAGAAATTAATAAAAGATTTAGACAGACACATATAATACAAACTGTATCAAGTGCAGGCCGGGCATGGTGGCTCACACCTGTAATCCCAGCACTTTGGGAGGCTGAGGTGGGCAAAGCACCTGAGGTCAGAAGTTCCAAACCAGCCTGGCCAACACGGAGAAACCCCATCTCTACCAAAAATACCAAATTAGCTGGACGTGGTGGCACATGCCTTTAATCCTAGCTACTCAGGAGGCTGAGGCAGGAGAATCACTTGAACTTGGGAGGTGGAGGTTGCAGTGCGCCAAGATCATGCCACTGCACTCCAGCCTGGACAACAAAACCGAAACTTCATCTCAAAAAAAAAAAAAGTGCTATTAAGGATAGGTACACAATGAAAAGACAAAATATAATAGGGAAATCAAATCTACTCTGACAGGAAAATCAGGATGGATACCCCAAGGAAGTGACATGTAAACTCAGGAAGAAAAGGATAATAAGTTGAAGATGGAATTTTGCTCAGAAGAGACACTAATACAAGCAAAGGCTCTGAGGAAGAAGAGAGCATAAATCTTTGAAGGAAAAAAAAGAAATCCAAAAGGCCAAAATCAAAACAATGTAGACAACACTATTGGTCACCTATTTAACAACTATTCCACTTCTTTTTCCTCATTCCTACCGGAAGTTCAATCATCTACCGTCCTCTGTATATTTATGTGCTTTAGAGGAAGCTGACTCCATCCTTGATTTTAGGAAATGGATACTGTTTGGACTTAAGTCAAGCATGGCAACCTCTGTCTCCCTGCCAGTGACTGGTTAAGAAATAGCATGAGTAAAAACAGAAAAAGGTTTATTGGATGCTCTAAACAAGAGATGGTAGTTTGGACTATGGAGGCACCAATGGATATGGAGATGTACATAAAGAACTAAGAAGGAGCAGCATCCAGGATGTTCCCTAGGTTTCTGTCTTAGGTAAATAATAGTCTATCCCTTCTTTACAGCCAAAAGCAGGAGAAGTATTTTTTCTAAATATATTATTAATAATCTTACATTACTCAATATATTTCTTTAAAATTAGTAAGAATTATTTAAGGATCACACATAAATATATCTGATTCTCATGTAGGATACTGGCCTCAGAAGGCCAGATGGCAAACTTATCAAGAATGAATCAGTGAGGCTAATTAGATTTTGTCTTAGGATACGAACACTATGTTTTATAGAATTCTAACATACAATTAACAAAACTGGCTACAAATAACATCAATTTCTGAAAATCATTTATTTTGTCTTGCCTTCATTAAAAAATTACTTAGGCCAACCAAATGTCTCAATCAATTAAAAGTCAAACCAAGGACTTAAAAACTTTTGACCACTCTGTGTTATTTAAAAAGAATTCCAGAGAAACTAGATAGAGATATATAATCAGTTGTGCTAAACAAACTTATATAAATTAGGGCTTATAATGGTAATAAGACTCCTATTACAGATATCACTGATCCAGGCAAAATATAAATTACCTTGACAAGCTGATGAAGTCTCATTTCTTTCAGAAGGTGGTGTGCTTGGATTGTTGAAATGATGTGAAGTTCCTTGGTTCATGTCATTGTTTGTAAAATCCTTTGAATGGCATGTACAACAACATGACAATGGTACTTCAGCTTTTTCACTTATGCCCTCATCTGCTGGCTTCCCTAAAAATGGAAGAACCTCTGTTTATAACATATCTAAGTAAATAAACATTAATCATTCTCTACAGTTAGGGTAAGTAACTGGCCCAGTTCATCCAGGATTGGGAGGTTTCCTAAGATACAAGATTTTTAGGGCTAATAGCAGGAAGGTACCTGGCAAACCTGGACAAGCTGGTCACTTTATCTGCACCATCAAATTAGGACAGGAGAGAAATACTTAAGCCAAAAATGTTTGGCCAGACACAGTGGCTCACGTCTGCAATCCCAGCACTTTGGGAGGCCGAGGCGGGCAGATCACTTGAGGTTAGGAATTTGAGACCAGCCTGGCCAATATGGTGAAACCCTGTCTCTACTAAAAATACAAAAATTAGCAAGGCATGGTGGCATACACCTGTAATCCCAGCTACTCAGGAGGCTGAGGCAAGAGAATTGCACAAACCCAGGAAGCAGAGGTTGCAATGAGCCAAGATCACGCCACTGCACTCCAGCCTGGGCAACATAGCAAGACTCTGTCTCAAAAACAAGAGCAAAAACATTTATAGAGAAATTATCACCCATTTATGTAATCTGCAAAAATCTAATAATCTAAGATTAATAATGTAATAAAAGTACAACCACTCAAGTATTCATTTATATTAAGATTTATTTAAAATTCAAGAACAGATTGAAACAAGGACCTAAAGTAAATTCTTAATTACTACTTTCCCTAAATGAAGAATTTGAAAGTTCAATACATTAAATAATAATGTAACACATAAGGGTTAAAGCATTCCCCACATTATATTTCTATTTCAAATAGAAACATGTTTATTGATGTATTAATTCTGATACATGAATCAAAATACATTTTAAGGTCAATATTCGAATCAATAAAATAGGTAATTTTGGTGCCTAAATATAATACAAAATTGTAATAAGTTTACAACATGTGCCTACATTGTATACAAATGTACTACTCATATACTCCAAAAAAAGCTAAATAATTTCTTTTTTAAAATAATCAGTATTGATTCTGTTTTCCCATTTATACCATATAAATATTCCTAATTCTATTTTTCAGGTATCTGCCATTAAGACCTGAAGCTAGTAATGATAAACTCACTTTTCCCAAAATTAACATCAGTAAGAATCAAAATGAACAACCAAAAGATTATGAAATATTTACTTTGTATTATTAATATGTTCTTATAACAAACATTTCATTTTAAAAATGTATATATATACCTATATACACGTACATACATACATACATACATACACATACCATGTTTAACCTCAAATTCTCCTAATAGTTTAGGTTAAACCCATATAATCATGTAACTAAAATGTATCCAATATTAGATTTCTGATTCGTTATATAATTATATAGTGTTTCATAAAAGTAAATATTAATAGACATTTGTTAGCAAACAAAGTAAAAATAGCTTGGCCTAGTGGGTCATGCCTGTAATCCCAACTACTCAAGAGGCTGAAGCAGGAGAATCACTGAGCTCAGGAGTTTGAGGTTACAGTGAGCTATGATCACATCACTACACTCCATCCTGGGTGACTCCACTCAGAAAAAAAAAAAAAGTAATGGAAGTAATATAAATTCATACAAACAATATTATAATATATCTGGCATCCAAACAAGTAAGAAGATCAACTGATGTATTCTTTTTTATATATTCCATGCGTTAATGTTATGAGAAAGGAACAAGTAAGCAAATATATTAAAGGATTTCAAAAATTAAAAAAGCAATTAGTATGTGTTATAGCATCATGACAGTCCAACTCTTGCATCTTGCACGTACAAATTATCATCTAATTATTCTATAATGATAACCCCGAGCATCCAAAACTGTTTTTGAGACATGGTCTCACTCTGTCACCCAGGCTGGAGTACATAATCACAGCTCTCTGCAGCCTGAACCTCCTGGGCTCAAGCGATCTTCCTACTTCCGTTTCCCAAGTAGCTGGGACTGCAAGTGTACATCACCATGCTTGGGTAATTGATTTTCATTTTTTGTAGTGGTCAGGTCTCACTATGCTGCCCAGGCTGCCAAAACTCTTTATGTACCTTCCGACTCATCAAAAGACTAAATTATGTTCAGTGTTATTTTAGCATTAATGAAACATATTTTGCTATATTGAAACTCTTTTGGCAGATACATAAATTTTTTAAAGAAACATCTTTAAACGAATATTTAAATTAGCTAGAGCATGGCTGAACCCGTCTGGTTAAAGAGTACCATATTATGTTTTTTCAGGCCCCAATAAGCAACCTGAAGATATCAAGCAACTACTTACCACTAAGAGACTGTTGCCATGCTAAAGCTGAACAAAGTAAGGCTAAGCTTTTTCCACTTCCTGTGGGACTCTCCAGTAAACAATGCTGCTTACTGTTTAATCCTCTGAGAACCTATGGACACAGAAACCAATGAGAAAGATTAATAAACATTTTACTTTATAAAGGTCTCTCTCCACCTGAAGTACAAATATAACAACAAGAAGTGAGGTTGCACTCCAGGGAACACAACAATAGCAGAAGGAACTCGTATTCTGTGAAATCCAAACTTTATTCTTTTACACCTCTCCCTGAGATTATCTTGGACTTACCAAAATATCAAGCACAAGAGAAGAAATGAAAAGAGCAATCTATGCCAGAATTATGCAAGCACCAATGATTTCTGTAAAACCAGAATACATTACTACCTATCAATATCTCTGATGAAAACTTAATGAAAGATACTGCTAGTGAGAGTATAAATTATTATAACTACTTGGTAGAGAAATAAACAATTTCTTATAAAGTGAAGATGTCCAACTACCGCAAGTCCAGATCTATGTGTACACCCAAAACCTTTCCCAAAAGAACACAAGAAAACATGCATAAGAAAGTTCATAGCAGCAGCCAGGCAGGGTGGCTCACGCTTGTAATCCCAGCACTTTGGGAGGCCGAGGCAGAATCACTTAAGCCTGGGAGGTGGGGGTTGCAATAAGAGGAGATTGTGCCGCTGCACTCTAATCTGGAAGACAGACTGAGACCCTGTCTCAAAAAAAAAAAAAAGAAGGAAAGTTCACAGCAGCACTGTTTGTAATTGCAAAGAATGTAAACAACCTAAATGTCCATCAGTAAGAAAATGGAAAGACAAATTCTGGTATATTCATCCAATAATCCAATAGAATATATACAGCAGTTAAAATGGATTAAGAATCAACAGGTCTATATACTAAAAATAATGCCAAGTTTAAAAAATCAAGTTGTGCAGAAAGATAGGGTACATCACATCAATGCACAAAGTTTAAAAATATGTAAAATAATATTTTATATAATTTATGGACATATACATATGTAATAAAATTATAAAAACATGGCTAGGAAAGGAAAAGAACAAATCCAGGATACTAATAATCTTGTTACCAGTAAATAAAAATGAAGTACATATGGCAAAATAGATTTAACAAAACTGGAAAGTTGGTTTACTCAGATTTGTATGTTAATTTTCTACATGAGTCAAACAAAACAATTAATGGTGAGAAATATAGTATCCTGTTTAAAAGATAGTAAATACTCTGTAGAAAGCAGTTTTTCATTAAAAGTATAGAAATTCCAAATGAGCTGAGAACATTTTTCAGAATTTTCTTCTTTGTCTTAACCACGGATATATACATTTACTAGCAATCATTAGTTTCCCAGAGGTTAGATGTTCTTCCAAATGGACCCAGAAAATACTCTCCATTTACTATTTGAAAATATGAATGCAGTCACATACTCAATGTACTTTATGAATCATAAGTATCTATATCTTAAAAACTTAACTGCTGAAAAATACTTACAGAATTCATCATAGCAAGCTGTGATGGGTAAGCTTTATAAGGAAAGTTAATCTTCACCCCGCTAATTGTATATTCAGACCACATTGCAGACATAGTGTTTTCCTGTTTATTTCAGATTCCTAACTGCAACAGAAATGCAAATCAAATATTGAGACACATCTTTCAAAGAAAACCAGAAAACCAAAACTAAGAGAGAAAGCATAAACAAAACAAATGGAAACAAAAGAATTTGCTAATATTATAAATCACATCAGTTAAGAGCATGTCTTAGAGTCTAACAAATCTGGATTTGCATCCCTTGCTCTGCCATGTATTAGTTGTGTGATTTTGGGAAAGTTAGTTACCTTCTCTAAACCATAGTGATTGCATGTACCCCATAGGATTGTGGTAATGATTAAGTGAAATAATGTGCAAATATGATACAGTACATACCAGATTAAATATGAGCTCTTGTAACAATTACATCAGATGTAATCAACCTACAGAAACAAGTTCCTGAGGCCTCTCTCTCTAAAACTGCATACCACCACTCTTTCTCCTACAGTTCTTCCCCTTGTGTTACCCTTTCTGCAGTCCTCCAGTTAGAAGAAAAAAGCTGCGGACCAGAAGTCAGGAAGCATAGGTTCTATACCAGATTTTGACAGTCTTTGATGTACCTTTTTACTTCTCTGGATCTAACATCCTTATCTGTGATGACCTCTAATTTAATTTAAAGGCTGTTGTAAAAAAGAGAATGCCCACCGGGCGTGGTGGCTCACATCGGTAATCCCAGCACTTTGGGAGGCTGAGGCAAGCGGATCACGAGGTCAGGAGTTCGAGACCAGCCTGACCAACATGGTGAAACCCCGTCTCTACTAAAAATACAAAAATTAGCTGGACATGGTGGCGCACACCTCTAATCCCAGTTATTGGGGAGGCAGGAGAATCGCTTAAACCCAGGAGGCAGAGGTTGCAATGAACTTGAAGCCAGGAGGTGGAGGTTGCAATGAGCCGAGATCGTACATTGCACTCCAGCCTGACAGAGCGAGACTCCATCTCAAAACAAAACAAAACAAACAAAAACCAAAACAAACAAAAAAAAAAACAGAGAGACAGAGGGGATGCCTTGGCACATAGTAGGCACTCAAAAATTTTATTTAAAGGTCAGTAGAGTATTATAGAAAGAGGATAGGCTTTGGAGTAAAGCAAGCCTAAGTTTGAATTCCACTGTGTGAATCACATAACTTCTCAGAGCTTGCTTCTCCATCTATGGAATTGAAATACTAATTACCTTACAGGGTTTTTATCAAAATCAGCCCAGGATCTCACACAGATGAGGTGATCACTTTAATCCTCACCTCTTCTAAACCACTTTTCTTAACCTAGGATCCACGGATGTAATTCAGACAATGACCTCTTGAAATCGCATGCAGAGATTTCTCTGCATAATTGCATTTTTCCAAAGAGAAACTCTATAGATTTCGCTTCCCCTAAATAGATCTCAAGGAAATCAAAATAGCGGGGGAAATTACCTGCATTGTTATCAAATAAGGAATTACTTGCAGCCGTGGGGGAAAAAATTGTAAATTCAATCTGGGGATGAAGAGATGGTTAAAATAGCAATTCAATAGATTATGAAGGCACTAACATTAACCACCAATTGTGTGTTCCTAAAGAAGTGAAGAACCACGATTCTGGGGTATTTTCCAGCTCTAACATTTTGAGATTCTATCTCTGAGAATGAGATGTGGTGGAATTGAACCTCTTAATATGAATCAACAATTCAACGCTTAGTAACTCAGATATAATTTAGAAATCAACCCGTCCAGTACTCGGCTGTGGCAACAATTGTCTCAAAATGAGGTAGCTTCCCCCCAAATACTGCATAAAGGACAAACAAACCCCTCTGCCTCCTGCCAAGAAGTAACGCAGCGCCCCGGGCTAAGAACAGGCCTGTGCTCAGAGGAGGTAAGGATAGGCTCCCTCCTCCCACAGCCAGTTGAGATCCCCGAGCCCCTGGTGATCCAGTCATCACCCATGGGCCCGCAGGCGGCTTGAGCGAAGGCAGAAGTACTCAAGCCCTTCCCGTAGACTTCCCTCCGACTTGCCTGTCTGGAGGAAAACTGAAGCAACGCTCTGAACTCCGATTCACGGAAGGAAAGGAAACCGATTTCTGAGAGCAAATAAAGCGGAGCCCTGGAAGAGAAGAAAGGGCACGAGCCCTTCCTCCCTCTTCCTGGCGGGGCTGCTACTCCCCCGGCCTGGTGTGCTAGCTTGCGGCTGCCGTACCCTTCGTCCGCAGCGGTGCTCACCAGACCCCTCAACCACACAGCCCGAGACGAATTCCCGCCTCCCGCCCCCTCGACTCCCAACTCCCAATCGCCCTACGAGCTCGACCAATCACCCGTCAAAGCCAGGAATCAACCAATCCCGGTGCGAGGTGAGGGGGCGAGAACTCCGGCACCCAATGAAAGTCTCCGAAAAAAAAAACACCACAGACTCAATGGTGTGCGGCCGCACAGGAAGGCTATTGCCACTGGAGCAAATCTCTGGAGTTTGTTTAAAGGAAAACGTCTTCCCGGTTTGACTTTTGAAACCAGCGATAAAGCCTGTACAGCCAATTCCTTGGAAACTGTAAGCCTCATTCTTCACATCCGTAGACTAGCGGAAAGGAAACATCTTTAAGCTTTGCTCGTGGAGCACTCATCAGTGCCACTCAGTTTACATTTCCCAGCTTTGCAGTAGCCAGGGTAGTGAAAAGAATGAGGCGAGAATTGCCAGGCTGCTGAGCCAAACTTAAATAAGATGGCTCTGTGACAACGGGCTACGATCTATCTTTCATAATATTCAGTGCTTTCCCGGATACTAAAGCCAGAGACACGCTGTCAGGTTCTCCAACATCAGATCACTTCTACCTCCATTAAGGCTTTTATCCGCCCTCCATCCTTCCTAAGACCATTTATTATTTGCCAATAGTACTTTAATTTACTCAAAGAAAAGGAGATTCATCATGATCTTGTCTAATTATGTTTTTTGTTTGTTTTGAGATGCAGTTTTGCTCTTGTTGCCCAGGCTGGAGTGCAGTGGCGCGATCTCGGAGCCATTGCACTCCAGCCTGGGCAACAAGAGCCTCGCAACCTCCACCTCCTGAGTTCAAACGACTCTCCTGCGAGTAGCTGAGATTACAGGCTCGCGACAACACGCCCAGCTCATTTTGTACTTTTAGTAGAGACGGGGTTTCTCCATGTTGGTCAGGCTGGTCCCAAACTCCGGACCTCAGGTGATCCACCTGCCTCAGCCTCCCAAAGTGCTGGGATTACAGGCGTGAGCCACCGTGCCCGGCCTAAATTATGTTTTGTTTTTTTTTTTTTAACTCTGTATAACCTAAACTTGGCTCAAATAATAATATCCCCCAAAGCCAAAACCTAATACTGCTTCTCAAATTCAAGTTAACTAGTTTGGGGAAGGAGTTTGCTGGGAAGAAAAAGCAGGAGGGAGCTAGTTGATTTGTTTGCCTCACTGTCAACCGTGATAATCTTGCCAAAAATGACAAAACTTGTAATTATAAACTCTACCCTTTGACCTAGTAATCTGAGCTCGATATTTATCCTAAAGACATAATCTAAACGAAAGAAAATGTGATACCTCAATTGACAATACCTATTTGTAATACTGAAAAAAATTATGAACTTCCCAGTCTAGTAATATAAAGGTGGTTATGATAGATGAATTCAATACATTATGAAACCAATAAAATTGTAAAAATTAAACTTCCACCAGGCGCTGTGGCTCACGCCTGTAATCCCAGCACTTTGGGAGACAGGCAAGCAGATCACCTGAGGTCGGGAATTCAAGACCAGCCTGACCGACATGGAGAAACCATGTCTCTACCAAAAATACAAAATCAGCCGTGCGTAATGGCACATGCCTGTAATTCCAGCTACTCGAGAGGCTGAGGCAGGAGAATCACTTGAACCCGGGAGGCGGAGATTGCGGTGAGCCGAGATCACGCCATTGCATTCCAGCCTGGGCAATAAGAGCGAAACTCCGTCTCAAAAAAAATAAAATAAACTTGCAGGAAAAAAATCCCGTATAAGGTTAAGTGAAAAAAAGTAAAGCAAGGATAATGTTTTTTTTTGTTTTTTTTTTTTTTTTTTGATACAGAGTTTCGCTCTTGTTACCCAGGCTGGAGTGCAATGGCGCGATCTCGGCTCACCGCAACCTCCGCCTCCTGGGTTCAGGCAATTCTCCTGCCTCAGCCTCCTGAGTAGCTGGGATTACAGGTATGCGCCACCATGCCCAGCTAATTTTTTTTGTATTTTTAGTAGAGACGGGGTTTCACCATGTTGACCAGGATGGTCTCGATCTCTTGACCTCGTGATCCACCCGCCTCGGCCTCCCACAGTGCTGGGATTACAGGCTTGAGCCACCGCGCCCGGCAAGCAAGGATAATGTTTAAAAGTAAATCCCTAAAAATACCTTCAAATTATTTCTCTTTTATAATTTTTTAAAACACCAAATCTTTTGAGTCACTGCACCAGGATAACTACTCTCATAAATTACTAAGAGTTTCAATTCGCTCTCACCTTGTATTGCCATTTAATGTATGTGGCGTAAAAGAAAGGGATACACGTAGGCCCTTGGAACCATACAGGCCTAGAATACAGTCCCTTGAACTGTTCCTTTCAGGTTAACTCTACTGGAATGACACACAAAAAAACTACAGGTTGGTTTGATAAAGAATATGAATGTTTATAAATCAATATTCAAAATAGCTGCACACATCTGTTTTCACTTGAATAAAAAAATCCCATTGTGACAAATTTTATACCTTAACTTAAAATACATGAATATTAACATTTACTAATATATTTACACATTTTATTTACATCATCAACAAATCTGATGAAAAACAGCAAATGTGATTATTTTAACACAGCAGGTTATGACCAGTCTTTGAAAATTGATTCAGGAATGTACACTGCATTTAGTTAGAAAACATACTTTAACTTTTTCTGAACTCCTAGGGCATATCTATTCACATAAAATATCGCAAGGCCTCAGTTAAAAAAAAAAAAAAAAAGGAGCAGTTGTATTTAATCTTGAGAGACTACAAAACTGCCTTGTCTAAAAATATGAAAATT